TTCACATTCAGACGGGCCTCGACCCTCAGCTGGAGCGTGTAGACGCCGATAGAAGCAGACGCAGGGCTGGACAGTGACACAGATAGCGCACGGGGTCCAGTCGGGTTCGGTAAACGCCTCTCCAGAACAGCGCTCCATTGAGTCAGAGAGGGCTGTCCGAGCCTGGAGACCGGGACCTCCACAGACACCGGACCTGCAGAGAGCAGAGACGAGTGGGTGTCAGAATAGAGCACAAAAATAGAGTTCTGGAAGTAAAATACTATTCATTTTCCCCACACAGGGATTGATTTTATAGGTAACTTCACTTTTAATGTATTTAGTTTATACCAGGGCTATAGTGAACTAATCATAAAAAATCTCGCAATTTTAAATCAAATAAATGTTAATTTATAATAAAATACAAAAAATGTAAACATGTTTTATTTCAGCTAGTTGCTAAGGCAACATTTATAATAATTGTTTAGTTTAAGTATTAAATAAACAAAAACTAATAAATAAATAACCTACAGACATATTTTAAAAATACTAATACAAATTATAAAACTACTTGCACTAAACCTAAAATTAAAGTGAAAACAGAAAATATAACACTAAAATTAAAAATATGAACAAAAATTTTAGCAGTATATCAATGATACTAAAATAACATGCAAACTACTTTTACAATTGCATATATTGGAATAAACCTAAAATATATTGTTTTTATCTTTGACTTCTTCATAGCCATCATAATTTTTATTCAAAGTACTGCATATAAATACATCTGTTACAATGCTGCATGGGATGAGTCGTTAATTTTTCCTGTAGCAAATCTGTGCAGTATGTCACTCTGGATCTAATGATTACTGATGAATTTCATCATCATAGAGGGATGTGAGGTGAGGTTGCATTTTTAATTCACACACATACAGATGCATGCACACAAACACACCTAGAACAATTTGGAAGATCAGTTTTTCCTTCAGTGGATCGAATGGTCGTCCATCATAGTTGATTGTCACTGTGAAGGCCTGTCCTCTCCGCAGAACCACAGTGCTGGAGCTCAGACCGTCGGTCTTGTGGTGGGTCTGGTTTTGCACCTGTTGCAGGTCAATAGTTCGAACTTTGAACTCTGTGTAAAAATGAGCAAATGTGATATTATTTCTCAGACAATTGTTTGGATAGATAGAGAGAGAGAGAAAGAGAGAGAGAGTAGAAAAAAGTATAAAAATAGTATTAAAATAAAATATAATTATTTTAATAAATGTAAAATTATTTTAATATAATTTAGAATAAATCATTTTCTAAATGATCTGAAAAGCTGTTTTGTAAGCAAATAAACAACTTAATTGTACAACTAGAAATATTTAAGTGTTTAAAATAGCAGTTAATGATTAACTATTACAAATCATTTTCTTAATAGCTTAGTAAAATAATCTGAAATCTAAAAAGATTACATGCAATAGAAAAGATTAATGCAATAAGTTCTTTAAATAGCAAAATAACTCAAATACTATGTTTTTTTGTAAAAGGATTAACAAAATGCCTTGCTAGTAAACCAGTAAAAATGATAATGATAAAAACATGAAGCTTACTGTCCATGATATGCTGCTGTGTTGTGGTTTGCTGTTTGATTCAGATTCTTCGTTTATTGTGCTTTTATACAGCATCCACCTGCCTCTCCCTTCCCACTAAAGCTGCAAAACCACATTCAAATGAAGTTAAAACATGTCAAATGTTACAATCAGTTGAACCAACACCTCAAATCACACATGAGTGTGTGTGTGTTTCAGCGGGTGGAACACAGAATGAGTAATACACATATATATCAAGAACGGACATCCACGTTCAATGGGACAAAGGTGTCTATCTATCTATATCTATCTATCAATCAATCAATCAATCAATCAATCTATCTATCTATCTATCTATCTATCTATCTATCTATCTATCTATCTATTCAAATGTACTGTATTTATTGTCTGTAATTGGGCATCTGAATAAAAAATGTATAATAAAGTGCTTTAAAAAAAAATCTGCCTTTCTTGTAAAATAGTCATTTGAAAATTAATGTATAAAAACAATAATTATATTTTAGCATTAGAAACACTACTGTGACAGAACATAAAAAAATTATTAATGTTCATAAAATAAATATAAAGATTGGTTTTGGTAATCACCAATACTGTTAGTTTAAGGCAACTGTGGCACAAACGACACACACACACTTGTGTGTGTCTGTGTGTGTGTGTGTGTGTGTGTCCATAAAAAGTTACTGTAATTTAATTATGAGAATTTTAAAATGTAATATAATGTAATTACAAGTACTTAATTTTTGGAATTACGTAATCCAGATTACATGTATTTCCAGATCTATTACAATTTATATACTATATACAGTGTATACACACACACACACACACACATATATATATATATATATATATATACACATGCAATTTATTTTTTGTTTCGTTTTTGCATTATAGTTTGACAATTGCGGAATTGTCTTGAAGAAAAATTACTTAATGGTTCTAAAAAAAAAAAGGCATCATTTTCTTTGAGCAAAAGTAATGTGACAAATGCAATGCAGTCTTTCTTTTCCGCTTTTCCAGGGTAAAATACGAGATGCCCTTAACAGGTTTTGTGCAATTCACCCTCATATATGACTAATAATATAACTGATAATTTCCTTGTTGTCTAAATGCGGAATTAACCTGCATTTAATGAAGGCTGAATAATCTAGATTTATGAAACACAACATCATGATGCACAGTCACGGAAAGGGCTTGAGATCACACCCTCACTCACACCAGTGAGAGTGAATATTAGATCAATCATGACAGATATAAGAGATCAGCGTGCAGAAGGTGCGGTGCTGTCAGGCCTGGTCTCAGTTTCAGGTCACTCCTTTACTCTTTCTATTTTCTGAAGAGATTTAATTATGACACTCTCATTCGTAGTGGGATTACAAAATACTGTATTTGACATATGACAACATCTGAATTTATTAGGAAAAACATTAGTGGTTTTTACAGTATCAGAGGTGGAGAAGATTTCACAAGTCATGAGGAAACAAAGACTTGCCTGTGAGAAACTTGTGAAAAAGTTAATAACATTTTGAAGTTGTATGTAGAGTAGATGTCTGCATGAATAAATTATAAACATGTATTTATACTTATAATGTGGTCTGAAGATGTTTGTATTAAGCAAACTTCACAACATTTTTTCATGGCCATATCTGTAATGGAAAAAAAAATTAGGTGTGGTTTGATTTCAACTGCCAATTTTCATCCCGCACACAATAATTTAAGTGATTCAGTCTTATTTACAAAACAAATCGTTCTGGATGTTGAATAGCCTTCCCAAGAATTTTTAAGGCTCAGCCAGTTTATAGGCTGTACAAGGAAATAATCTAGGTTATTAATGCAAGCACCGTTACTAGTTAAGGCCCTTCCCAATAAAAACACACCTTCAGTGCAGGTTTCTGAAATGACTCATTCTTCACAAAGCCCTTGAACAAAGCCATTGATGCTTTCAAGAACTGAAGTGGATCATAAAGGCCTTGTTGAACAATAAATCTGCAGTCCTATAGTGTACAAAAGCACTCTTATTCTTGACGGATGAGGCTGCTAAACTAAAATCACACCAAAAGAGTCTGATGCTTTAGAAAGGAAACAAACGGGTCTTAACATCAAGTGAATATCAATAACGGTCAAAAAATAAAAAAATCTACCAAAACAGGTTTAAATACTTCACTGAAAAGCCCAGTTAGGGAATGTGTAGGGTGTCTTTACTGCCTTATGGTTTGAAATAAATAAGGGAACAATAAATTAATCAACAAAGCATTGCTTCTAGATATTACCTAAGTATTATAAGCATTATGAGAAGTATTTGCTTTCATAACAATCGAAGTTTTATCTGTCTTATTGACTTAAAAAACAGAATTGCGATTCATATATGAATAGATTTTTACATGCACCCCTATTTTTCTTCCTCTTCTCTAAAGCAGCGCAGCATGGCCCCGCACCCTTCGTTGCATGTCCCCAGGGGCGGGGTTTATCTGGGTTTGTGATGTCATTAACCCGGGAAGTAACTTGTTGTAGTCCCTACCAGCCGTTTTTGTAGGCATTAAACCGCCAGAATTTTAAAAGATATCTCCGTTTGCATTGAACTTTCAGCTTCGTAACTTTGCAGATACTGTTTATGCTCAAACAGCAACATTACACACTAACGTCAAAATAGTGAAATCGCAATCAACCACCCCTTTAAGTATTTATTAGTGCTGTCAAACGATTAATCGAATCCAAAATAAAAGTTTTTGTTTACATAATATATGTGTGCTGTGTATATTTATTATTTATATATAAATACAAACACATGCATGTATATATTTCAGAAAAATATGTTGTTTATATATTAAATATATTTAGTTTATAAGAATTTAATTATAAGAATATAAATATAGACTAATATAATATTTTCTAAATATATACTGTATGTGTTTGTATTTATATATACATAATAAATGTACACAGAACACACACATATATTATGCAAACAAAAACTTTTATTTTGTATGCGATTAATCGCGATTAATCGTTTGACAGCACTAGTATTTATACATCATCACTTAGAGAAACTAAATAGCAAAGTCCTAAAAGGAAACATTTTCCTTATTCAAAATGTAATGCTTCAAGCAAAATAATTGCTTTAGGGTGAAATGTGGCCTGAAATTGTTGTTGAGCGATTTAAAATCGTGTTTTCTTTCTTTTCTTACATGATGGTTTAACAAAGTTATCACGAAGTGTAAATCTAATTTAAAGTGGAGCGAACAATCTAGACAATGTGCAAAGAAGTCATTCAGTGCAACCTGTAACATGTAAGGCAGCACAGTTTTAAAAATGGTCAAGGTTATATAGCTCCGATTTCTAAGTGTCATAAATAAAGGTAAAGTAATTAAACCCTTCAATACAACACAAATAAAAAAAAAACACAAAAGGAAAAAAAAAAAAAAAAAAAAACTTTAAAGTGGTCTCTTATTTTCCTAGATTCTATGGTTTAATGCAAGAGCTTAGACTTGTCGGTATCTCATTTGGTTTTTGGTTTGTTATAGATGAGAAAGTCTGAAATGTCATGCCACGTGTTGCTGTCGTGGTAGAGGTAGTTCATGGAGGACTGGAGGGACGGCTGAAGCGTGTGAGGGTGATACTCAAACAGCCAGAGCACGATTCCCCACACCAGCGCGGCAAACAGCGGGAACGGGTCTTTCTTGGGCTGCGGGATGAAGCCTTTTTCCACGGCCAGTCGAGACAAAGCAAAGAGAATCCTGGACAGCAGATACATATTTATCTGGGGGACCAGACCAAAATTACAGAAATCAAATAAGAGCTATTACAGTACCTGTGAAAAGTTGACGATTAAAATGATCATTTATCAGGATCATTTTAATATGCTGATTTGCTGCTTAAAAACACAGAACACAGCACAGAATTTAGTAGGGATGCTAGGGACTTGTCTCTACCAATTCTGCAGGACACCGGCCCTCCAGGACCGAGTTTGGACAGGCCTGGTCTAGTTACTCCTTAAGCGACCGTAGCAATCATTTTAAAATAATTAATAATGAAATATATGAATATGTAACTATTGTTGTTGTAATTTTGGTTGCATCTGAGTCATACTGACATTACCTGAGAAGTTAAAGTATATACTAGAAAACTGCGCTCTTTCAAGGATGTGCTTTAATGCATGGACCGGGAACATAACGTGTTAAAAAATATATATTTTGCAGTAGACAAATAATATAAAAGCAAGTGCAATTTATTGCAAAGAAAATTCAGACTAAACACCTTTTCAAATAAAACATATTAAATGATAAATCCGATTATGCACCGAGTTCCACTAACCTGGCTGTTGATGTTGTTATTTTCTCCAAACACCAGCCAGCCTCCAACACAGGCAGCGAGAAACGAGTGCGACTGCAGCGGTCTTCCCTGCAAGCGCTGCTGGAGAGCCTGCAGGCCTTTATAGGTGAACACAAAGCAGGCTAGATTCCTGGAGTGAGTGTATGTGGCCTGAGCGATCGCCCTAAACTTCTCTCTCAGACTGATGGTCATGCGCAGAGATAAAGCAATGGTTAGATTTGATTGATTATTGCCCGGTTTCACAGACGAGGCTTAATCCTAGTCCCAGACCAAAATGCATGTTTGAGCTGTTTTAACTCAAAGCAACTTGCACTGGAATATCTTAAAATATTCCAGTGCTATTGATTTGTATCGTTTTTTTTTGTGTGTGTGCATTGTTTTTTCTAAGGCACATTTACATATATATATATATATATTAAAACAATAAATGACGTAAATGTGCTAATTTCACTATGGCTTAATCTAAGCCCTGTCTTTTGCAAGTCATGCTGTATACATGATTATTTTTCACACACAGCATGGGTACATTGAAAATACAATGCAAAAAAGCAGCTAGTCATCACAGACATTTGGACCCCACTGTAAATGTATACACATAAACAAGACAGTGTAATATTAAAGAATCGTGTAAATCATCTTATTTTCTCCCACATTATATTAGCCACACATCAACAAGTAAAAGCAGCAATATAACCATTTTGACATTAAGTGGCATGTAGTTATCTGAGAGGTCAAAGTTCACTTCACCTGCCACTTCTGAATAGAAACGTCATCACTAGGGCGTGAGGGGCACGAATTTTAGCCCCATATCTGGAAAAGAAAAGTATGCAAAATGAGACTTTCTTCATGTGAACAACATATAATTACAGATTTTCAGTTAGTCGAATGTCTAAAACTAGCAATATGCAAACCTATTACTTTAAGTTTAATGATCATAACGCTCAAAACCCTCAAAATCTATATAATTTCAATACGCAAAATGCAGTGTAATTAAAAGTGCTGCATGCCCAAACGTAAACAACATTAGAATTACAACTGTGTAAATGCATGTGTTACCAAACACGAATAAAAACGCTGTTTAAAGGTCATTCAGACTCACACAGCTCCATTCCTGAAGCCTTTGACGACTGCCAGAGCAGATTTATATTTGTGTTGTTGCAGGAGATTGTTGACGGTGTATAATAAAGTTTTAAAGAGATCTGAAGCTGCCATGACTCTCCTTCAGGACGGACGCCTCACACTGTAACACACGCGGAACCATTCCTGCTTATAACAGTTCCGCTTAAAATGTCCGGAACGACAACACCTATATGAAACATAATAATTTTTTTTAATTTTTTTATCTGTGTCCAGGTAGGATTATTAAAGTCTTAATAAATTAAATCTGAGAAGGAGTTTATGAGGTTTTTGCATTGGTCAGAGAGTGTCATTACTGATGTTCAGCACGAGAGGGCGCTGCTGCGCCGCTTATGTTTGTTTCCTTACACACTCAACTTAAACTTCATATTTCACCGCTTTTAACTTTAGGTCTATGTTTCTAAGCTGACAGAAATATTTAATTGACCATTTTTTTATGTTTGACGTGAATTGTGAAACGAAAGCATCATTTAACTATCTGCTTTTTGAACTTAAACCAGTTAAAGTATGTTTTGTTAGCTGTTTGAAAAAAAAGGAAAATAAATAGGATGAGTTTAGCATTTCTTTAAACATTTTCGATTTGCCCACCAATTTATTTTATTTATTTGCACATTTAATTATTTCTATATGTATTTAAACAAGAATTTGTGTATTTATACACACATTTATTTATTTATTTGCATATTTATTTATTTATTTGTGTATTTATTTATTTATTGTTTTTGCAGGTTTGGCCCTCCATAATATGGTCACATGCAGGTAAACAAATAAAATATTTCACTTTTTTTAGTTAAATGTTTTATTTTGATTGATGCTATTTTAAAATATTTTTTATTTTATTTTACATTTTTATGATTTAATTCATTATTAGATTTTCATTAAACTCATAAACCCCTTTAATGTCATGTTTAATGCTTTATATGTTGTTGATAACAACGCATGGAATATATTTTCTTACTCTTTGAATTTTTATTTCAATATGGTATAAGATTATGCTATTTAAATTAATGTGATAAACGAGTTAGGTCAAAAGTAATGTAAAAGTAGTCCGATTATATTACCTAAAATGTGTAATGTAACGGATTACGTTACAAACTACAATTGTTGTCATGTAATTTGGAATCAGTAACGGATTACAATTGGTAAGTAATCGTTACTTTTAAAAGTATCATCTCTGAGTGTGTTTTTTTATTTTTTATTTATTTATTTTTTTTTGGTTTGCCAACCGCCAATAAAATTTAAAGAAGAAGAAGAAGAAGAAGTGTGTGTTTTTTTTTTTGGATTGCGAGCCGCCAATAAAAAACGAAGAAGAAGAAGTGTGTGTTTTTTCAGCAGCGTTCTCAGTGCGATGGGAGTCCTGTGAGGATGGACACACGGCAAATCCTGCGACTCTTGATCGTTTTATCAGGATTGAACGGAGCGTGTGATGGTAAGTATGAGGGGTTTGTTTATTTCAGCAGTTTTGTTTACAGCTGGGTGTCGGTTCGGTTCGTTTAAGGTGTTTTAGTCGCTGAACGTTAGGCGTTTTGAATACAACAACAACATGGCGCTGGGATTTAACGACTAGCCCCATAAACTCTCTGCCTTTTCGCTGACTTTCTCTCAGTGTCTGTCTGAAACATTAATGTAGGGTGTGCTTGAAGTTATATTTTATATATGTGCTGTTTAAATAACAGTAATAAAGCAGGATGACCGTGTTTATGATAGAAACTCAAAGGTGAAGGGCTAGCATGCTAACTTAGTTTAATATGAGGCTGTAAATTCGGTTAAAAGCTTCAGAACAACTAAAGTGACCAAATGCCCCGCGTTTAACCTTTTATAAGTCTGAATATGGTTTAAAAGAGTTCATACATTGTGAATCGTCACATTTGACATTCATTTGGGTTTAGTTCTCTTTAAAAGCTGCTTTAATTGAGCTGTTGCTGTATGCTTCTCCTTGTTTTTGTGTACGTTTATAATTTTGTTTATTTGTTTTTGTATCTAGGAAGTAATATGAGAGACTTTGTATTTTACATGAGCACCGTATCAGTTACAGTAAACAAATGCAGATACAGTAAACAGAAAATGGGTTTATTTGGATCCTGGCGGACTGTTTTATTGAAACTTATTTATTGGAGTCTGAATATGATTTTTAACAGTCAGAAGAGCCTATATAAACACATCTATATTGGCTGACCTGTTGCACATTAACACAGGTGTAATGTTTACTGTTAATTTTGTTATTAATATTAGGTTTACGCGTTGTATTTAGCTAAGCAGTAGAGAGGAGCTCTGTTCACTATAAGTACAGTGGAAAATCAAGTAAATGGATGCTCTCGGTATGAAATAACATGTTAATGTCAGGACAGAAGGAAGGTGTGTGTGGTCTGCAGATCGAAGTATAGGTCTGCAGCTTTCCTTTGAGTGATGATATGGTTTTGAGTTACAATAACCTCTGAGTGCAGGTTATGATAATGGTTGGGTGTTGTGTGGGTTGAATCTCAGTTCTTTGTGAAGAAGAGACAAAATAAGGATATGACCGAAGAGTGACCCCATTTCTCTTATATATGTCTGTCTGGCTCTTTCTCTCCGCATCGTATAGAAATACGGCATGTCTTTGTTCGTGTTTGGTTTGATATGGGGTAACTCATAGCCAGGGGGTTTTCTTTATTCCTGTGAAGGTTTCTTCTTAACCCGCTGTAAAAGGCCCTTAATGTTTTCTGCATATTAAATACTTTTGACAGGCTTGGACATGCACACTAGTTTAAGAGCTCTGCGTTTCCCCTCAAGGTTCAATAAAGTGCATCTATCTGTCTGTTGATTAGTATGCCTGGCTAGGGAAGAATAAGTATAAATTATAAATAAATTATAATAATAAGAACTCAGATAAACCGTATATTGCCGTAGTCTTTTGACAACACTACGCATGACAATCGCAGCTTCTGTCGAATCGCGATCTCGATTCCATTTCGATTTATCGTGCAGCCCTAGTGTGACTTTAGCTTTGTGAAATTATGCTACATAAAACATCTGCACGAAACAGAAACAGCATACGGGCTGAATGAGATGCAGATTCATTCTCTGACAGCAGGTGGCGCTTACGGAGCAGTAGCGATACAGCGTTTCCTTTGTTGCCGCTTTAAACAAAGCAGCGCTGCGCTTAACAGTACTTTAATATGCATTATACGGAGGTAAGAGGAAAAGAAAATACCATCTAAACCAGAGGTTCTCAACTCTGGCCCTCGAGATCCACTTTCTCCTGCAGAGTTTAGCTCCAACCTTGATCAAATTCACCGGCCTGTAACTTTCTAGCAAATGTGAAGACGTTGATTAGCTTGTTCAGGTGTGTTTGATTAGGGTTGGAGCTAAACTCTGCAGGAAAGTGGACCTCGAGGGCCAGAGTTGAGAACCATTGATCTAAACTTTCCTGAAGACTGTCAGTTCCCCTCAGAGATACATTCATATAAACCTGTGTTTCTTACCATTTTTTCATAATTAATTTACTAGCAATTTCTGAGTGAAAACTGTTTCTAAACCAAACTTATTCCGTGTACTGTTGCTCACCCAGTTTTGCAACAGCATGGATAACATTAGTAATCCTCAGATAGCAGCTAATGCTCTTTCCACCTTGACTTACAACAGAGTAAACAGAGATTGTGTATCATATTTAATGAGAGCAGTGAAAAGCTTATCTGAACACACGACTGAAGCGTGAGAGGGATTACTCTGCTTCAGATACAAAGCATTAATGAGCAAATCTAAAAAATGCAGGGTACAGAATTATTTTTGCCTCATCTGCCAATGGCAGTGAATTGATTAATGTAAATATGTATAATACAATTAGCATTTTATTGAATAGGCTGTGTATTTGTAAAATTTAACTATTTTATTATGACAAAAATCATAATTGTCAATTATTCCCTTAAAATTGCAATTATTACGATTATCAATTTATATTTAATGATGTTTTGAGTAGCTTTATACCATTGTTTGAAGCAACTGCATGCCATATTTTTATATGACAATCAACAAGCTGAAAACACTCAAATGTCAACAATATATTGGTTTGGTTTCTTCTTTAAATAAAAATAGAAGTAAAAATGTGCATGATATTATAATGTTTTTCTAAAACTAAAATTAAAACAATGGGAAATACCCTTAAGATAACCTGTAGAAAGAGAAAAAACAAACAAATGCATTAAGCATGCTGAATAATGCAAGTGGACTTTTTAATGTAATTGTGCCTTTGAATGATTACGTAATTGTGGCATACGTAATTGTAATCACGCTTTGATTAATTGTGCAGCCCTAATGTCTATATAGTTTTTAATTTTTAAATTGTAGTTAGTACTTCAGCTTGAAATAAATGAAAATTAGAAATGTTTCCTTGTCAATTAGCTGAAATAAAATATATATATAAATGAGAACCTAATCGATAAAGACGTTGTACATTTTTTATTTCAGTTCAGTTAATGTTTATTTTATTACACATAATAAAAATGCTTTTTAGTGGTTTTGCTCAACTATCTGCTGACCATTATTTTTACATAGCGTTTTAAACCACACATTATGTTGTAACCTCTAATAAAACCACTGGCCCACTGGCAAGTAACATGTTTTGTTTACTCAAACTCACTTTTGTCACATGTTGAGGGTTAATTTTAGGCCCCCCATGTATGTAATAAAGAAATATATTTAATGTATTAAAGACACATTTGACATTTATTTTTAAATGTATGCGGTTCCTAACATATTATTGTAATCTTACCAAATGTCTTGTAAAATACATTTTGCAAGAGTGAAGTTTTCCATTGTACCTACAGTTAATTTGATAGATGATTTTGTTAATGATTATTTTAGTCGTAGTTGTATTTTACACAGAAGTTTAACAGTTTGTACTCTTCAGAGTTGAGAGATTTCAGCTTTCTCCTCAGTGTGTGTTGGATTGAGACTCAGGTGTATAAATTACGCCAAATAAGTAAGTGTTAGTCAGTTCGAAACTGTCATTGGCAGAAGCAGGAAGATGTGGTTTGCGTCTGAAAGTCATTCGAGTTTCAGTGTCTATAAAAAGCAAATCTGTCATCACTGATTGTTCACCATTGCCATAGTCACCTGTCAGATCTCAGACTAGTAATTAATTCACATGTGATATTTGTAAATAAAATAATTCAGTTCTACAAGGAAAATAAAGTTGCTGGTTGTTTTGCAGTAGGATAAAAATACTTGAATGCTTGTGACATTACAGTACATCGGGCACTTCCAGTCCAGTGTAGACAACTTTTTCTATTTTTTTAATTATTTTAATGAGAACAACAAATCATTAGTTTTGCTTTGCATCACTCTAACCTGACTGAGTTGTTTTTCTGAAAACTTTGCATAGAGGACATTATCTCAGCTCGCCAGACAAAGCCATTAGCTGGTTGTAGATAAGCAGGTTTAAAGGCTAGAGCAGAGCCAGTTTGACTGGTCCAGAACCGCCTTTCTTTGGTGGAAATGTCTGCAACTGGGCTAGATTTTTTTCTATCATTAAAACATTTAGTAAGAGTGATTCTCAGGGAGGTTACTACAGAGAAAACCACTTTTCTCTATAAATAAGTAGCATTACTGCATGTCCATTTACTTGAGACCACCTGCATGTTTCACAGCTCTGCTGAGAATGATGTTCTTTAGATAGAAAAGGCAACATTTTTTGGTTAATCAAACACTGCTTGGCTGCACCAAAATCCCAATAGTAAAATGTGATAGAAGAGTTTGTTTAGGCCAGTGTTACTGTCTCAGGACTTGGGCAGCATTGCAGGCATTGAGACCAGTTAATTCACTGTTGCTTAATTGAAAATGTATATGATGCATTATGCAGTGATGCAATTTATGTACAATATTTTTCCCTCCAGAATATTAAATTTTTTGTGGCATAAAAACTGATTCATTGTCAGCTGAACATTGTCAACCAGAACTAGGCTGACAACATGCAACATGTAGCTTCAAAGTCACCAATGGTGTGAACGGCTTTAGACTCCATGTTTGTATCTCAATCATACCTTTTTAATGCTTTGCAATCATACAGTGAGCTGAAAGGAGTACATTGTGAAATGTTATAGCTGTTCTTTTGAGTAAAAGCATGAGTTTAGTTTAGATTTTTGCCACGCTAAAACAGTCATATGACGGCATATGATATTTGTGTCTGGTATAGTTTAGAAACAGCGTGACTTCTCTTGCTTTTCATGGAGCTGTGTGTAGTTTGTTGACGTAACCACATTGTTGATCTAGAATAATTTTTTGAATCAATCATCTGTAACTTTACATGAATGCGAGTGCATATTCATTCCCTGGTTCCTGCGTGTCTAATGTTCTGTCCCGAGCTGTTTGTGACTGCATTCGGACAGACCTGCGAGTCTCGCTGTGTTTTGCACGTGTGGGTGTTTGCTTGAAAATTATTTAACTGTCCTTTGAATACAAAATGAAGACTCATACTTACGGCTGGGCAATATGGCCAAAAAAATTATCACAATAAAAAATGTTGTATCAGTCGATATCGATAATTATCACTGTAAATTTCAGATCTTTATTTCTTTCAAGTTTAAAGGCAGATTTTTGCTCCTAAGTGAAAGTAGTAGAAACCAGACCATTAACTGTGGTGTTAAACTACACTTTAAGGTCAGAACATGACAAACGCTTCACGTTTTTTGAATTCTTTACACTTTTCCAGTCATTTTTCCTTGGAATAAATATCTTAATAGAAAAATTATTGTCTTAGTTTCTGCATTTTCTAATGAGTGAGACTGTTTCACATCATGAAACGGGATTGTGTTGGCTGAACCAAATACACAAAATAATGATCTTTAAAAAAGCATCATATGACCCCTTTAATCTAATTTTGACTTAACGTCTTTTCTAATCAAATAAGGTGTCAGGGACTCCTTTTTTTTAATTTTTCAGCACTTTACCTTGTGTACATGTGCAAGTACAAACACGTTCATGTCAGTTTGAGGATATGGTGTCATGAAGCCAGAATTATTTTGCTGTCCTAAATGCGTGATTATATGAGTAAGGTGAATTTTTTTAATTGCCATTTAGAATGAAATGTTTGTCTTCTGTCGCAATAAGAAAAGACTCATCAGTTAAATCTCTGTCATCAAATGCGACATCGACCACAAACGACAGCGTCATAACATCTGTCCTCAAGTAGTTTCACTCAGTTCGTAGCCCAAGGGGAAGCTCCCATGATGGTGGCGCGTCTCTTTACGTCATATTGTGTGAATGGGTGTAAATAACAGGAAATCCCGTCTATCAACTAATATGCCACCTTACATGCAAAAATGAAACTAGTTCAGTGGAAAACCAAGCTCACATGCTAAATTTACATTCTGCAATGTCCTACATACATGCAAACACTTTGATTAGTAAAGCAGAAGTTCTGTGCTTTTCTGTTGCTGAAAGCGGAAAATGTAGAAACAGCCTGGGCAATACTGCAAGAGTATACAATAAAACCGGATCCTCTTAATGTCAATTGATCACAGGCTTAATTTGTTGAATCACTCTGTGTTTTTGGCTTGAAATGAGTCCTGCTGGCATGAGCTGGAGCTGTGTTCAGTCACGCCATGAATGCAACACGCCGCAGCCTGCATTCAGCGCTGTGAAAACAGAGAACATTTTGGACACAATTGCAGTGCAAATGTTTTTTTTCTTTTTTTTTCCAAATTTCAGTTCACAGTTTCTAATTATCCATATGCCATGAAAAATATCTCAATAATGACATTGTGTAGGAGCTTCACCAGAAAGTGCATCAAGCGCCAAATGAATGTTGCACTTTAGAGACGCGCAGCTGTTGCATAACTCATTTACACAACTTGTTACATGACTTATAGGACTGCCAGTAATTAGTGAAGCCTGCTTTACAGTTTGGTAGCATTTTATTTTTATTTTTTCCTTTGAAATCTCTAGTCATGTCTGTTAGTCATGGTTTCCTGTACAAAAAACTGTTTATATCATCTGATCCTTGCAATAAAACAGGCTGTTTTTGCAGTACTTTTTAGATTTCTATATGCAAATCTTTTATAATTTTTTATAAATGTAATATTTTTATTGGATCAGTGTACTGGCATAGTTCACGTTGTTATATATCAGGGCAGGCAGATGCTGAAAATAAATGGGTGTTATGTAAATGTTGGTGGTTGAATTAAAAATCCAGTGTTGGTCGAGATGCTCAGTAAAGTCAGCAAGTGAGTATTTTTATCTTTAGCTTTCATGTTCATTAAAAAGGGATTTGGAGACACAACAACTTGGAGAGGGTTTTTAGCTTGCAACAGTAGCTGTTGAATAGTGCTTGACACTTACTTTTTTCCCCAATATGCATATTGTGGGTTTTTTAATTATAAAGAATTTTCCATTGCTGGCTGCTCATTCATGTCTACAACATATTGCAATATATAAATTGAGTGTGAGGGACGTCTGGTGTTGTTCAGGGCAACTTTTGACTGTCTACATCTTCTATTAAAAATGTGCTCTGGTCCCAGTTTGATTGAATCATCGCTGTCTGGCTGCTCTTAGTGGACAGACCTGATGAATGATTCTTTAACCATGAAAAATTATATGAAGGGGAGGAAAATATAAAGATGTTTCATGTTGTCCTATGCTGCATTCCAACAAGGAAACAAATTTGGGACTTTATTTTATCAATCAGGAAATGATCGGACCGGACCCGACCGGAGTGCTTTCCATACCACCATGATCACTAGGGCTGGATAAAAAATATCGATATCTCGATTATAATCGATTCTCATTTTTACGAAACGATGTCGATTCTTAAATCCCGAAAATCGATTAGTCTAGCCTGTTTTCAGTTAATGGACGGAACGTTGAAGGTCACCTCCCGTCCAATAAATCGCAATAAGCATTGCACTGAAATCTGACACTTTGTTTCATATTAAAAGTACCAAAGTATGTTCATTGTATTGCAGTATTCAAACATTAAATGCCGTTTTGGCGTTAATGTGGAGTGACAGATCGCTGTAGCGCCTCAACAGACGCCGCAGTTTCAGCCGCACAAAGACGTCAATATAATGGCTTGTAAACAATGTCACGTAACGCCACATTTACCTCCGAAAAAAACATATTCAGTGACCGTAAAGTCATTAGTCAGAGTTATGGTATTAGAAAAATAGAGAGGAGCATTTTGTAAATATATGCACCATATAATATATTCATTAACTTTTACTGTTCTTCAATGTTTAATTTTTTTTATGGCAGCCACCATTTAAATGTTTATATTTAAAAAAAAAAATGAATTGAAGTAGAAATATTATGTAATTGTAACTTTTATTATAAAAACTTCATTAAGTGTAATTTAAGCAGTTGTATAGCCAAAAAAATCAGTCAGTTTTATCCTTCAATATTATAGTAATGTAGTACCAACTGACTCTCATGTCTATTTTACAGCATTAGTTAAGTGATTTTTTTTT